CTGGAGTCTTGCTGCTTCTGGTTGGTACTGATCACATTCATTATTCATTATGCTGCTTAGTAAAATAGTTGAGAGCTTAAATAGCAGAATATGAAATATATGAAAAACATACTTTTATTCGTGTTATCCCAAATTTGTGTCGGTCTGTTGCTGTAAATCCAAATAAAATACAAACATATTTGTAATTATTAATTTTAAAACCTTAGAATCAGCAAAACTCTAAAACTATAAATAAAGTGGATCTAAAATCAAAGGAGCTTTTATTTATTTTTTATTGTTTATGTTGTATCATGTACTAAATAGACAACGTAAAAACAAAATGTGTTTCAACACCACCTTGTAGTTTTTTACACTTTTACTGGCAATGAACAGGAGAATGATTGGCAATTGAAAAGATCCATTAAACACATTATTAAGAAACCAAAATTACAAATAAATAAAAACAAAATGTTTAGTAAAAAATGTTTGTTGCTACAACTTGCACCTTTAATCCCATAAACTGCAAACATCAGTGAAAATCATTACACAGAATAAAACTAGCAAGAGAAAACAGCAACATAAATTATATATAATGTGTTTTAAACATCAAAAATCAACTCCAGTGGTTTAGTTTATTTTGCTGCCGCTCTGAAAGCTACATGCTAGCTTGTTGTCACTTAGTCAACATCATCAACATGGCCGCCTGAGCTGAGAGTAGTGCTCTCAAGATGGCCGACCTTTGCTACAGGCGGCTGTACAAACAGGTTCAAACTGCTCTTACTTCATAAACACCTCACTGATCCCGTTTATCTGACAAAATACAGCCAGAATACTGTGGTATATATGAAAATAAACATGAAAACGTTAAGCAGTATCTGCCAAATGGAGAGTTTAAATAATTAGAAACAACATAAACATGAGATTTAAGGCAATGACAGTTTGATAAAGGGTCGGTTTTTATCTTCGAGGACTCAGTTTTGACTTAATGTGACCAACATAGCAGAACTGCACAAACATTTTAAAATCTGCCTAATTTCTTTCTATTTTCCTTCCAAACATCCAAACTTTATTTTTTTTTTAAAGTCTTGGTGAAGATTTTATTCAATATTTCTGAAGGATTGGATTTTGAATGCTCTTCACACATTTACCATACCATTTGCTCTAAAAGCTAAAAAAAAAAAAAAATCTACAGCCCACAATTATTCATATCCCTGTTAATATTATATTTTTAATTATTTTCAGTTTTAAAGGTGAGGCAGGCATCTATCAACAGGCAAAACAAACTTGTACAATGAGTAACAATTCTGAAAAAATACAATTTAATTTTATGTACTATCATTTATACCGTTTATGTCATTTTTCAACAATCCAACCCTTCTTTTAATTGCCCTTTGAGATTTCAATTTATTATTATTTTTTTCTTCTGCTATTTTGACAAATTCTCTTTGCAATCCCTTCAGATTCAAGATTTTTCTTGCTCCAAAGCAAGAATATTACTTCCAGTCAAAAGAACCATGTTTGTAAAATAAAAACATTATTAGCCTGAATCTGGTTGCCATGGATTCCCATGGGAAGCATATATATGTATATCCATGCACCACTGCTGCAAATCTGATACAAATGTTCCATAAATGTTGCAGTAATAACCTCTAAGTAATGTCACTTAATCTCTTGCTAAGCTATGCAGACACTCAGTCTGTCCCGATGAGGAACCTCTCACCTCAGCATGTCGAATGTTTGAAGTGACTGACTCAGCAGGGAAATTGGATGTATTTTTTAATTAATCTTGTAATTAATAACACACAGCCTTCAAATACATGAATGGACTTAATGTTTTAATAGATGTTCTCAGTTAATGGATTTAAAAACGCAGCCAAATTCTAAAGTGAAAGTTTGAACGACCTAAATAAGTTCGGATTAGTACTGATCAGGACCGCTACCTTATTTAGTGATGTTTGATTCAGAATTGTGCGCAAAATTAATTTTTAATATCCAGATTGATATCAGTGCTTAAGAAATTGCATTTCAAAAAAGTGATCCTTCAAAGGCAAAACCCATTGGCTGAATAAAACATATATGTATCCATACAGTTTAGACACAATAACCAACAGTGATGCCATCTAGCTGTGTTCTGGTTACGCTACAGAACAACATTTCCTTTGGTCCTACAACTGAAGTGGGACTGGAAACAAACAAAATAGCATACCAAACTGCACCGACCCGTGTTGTATCTATATGGTACCATTTGCAAAATTACAGTCAAAAATGATGAGAGATAAATTCAGTTATTTATTCTGTCATAGAAAAAAAAGGAGGCTCTTTTCTCAAAGTCATATTTTAAGCCTCTTATTCATTAATTTATAAATGTTACAGTTTCAAACTAAATATTTAGTTAGCAAGCTAAGTTTTTAGCACCAATCTAAATGTTTCCTTAGCAAACTAAAAATTTAGCTAACATGCTAATTAACTTCAAACACCTGTTGTTTTAAGCTGAATTGTTGTACATGTGAAGAGGAAAATTAATGCAGAGATGACATGAACTACAATCCAAGCCAATCAGTTTCACCATCAGGAGTTTATTTAGTTTTACAAGACTTTTATTTTGATAGTCCACTCTATGTCATTGGTAAATTTTGCATATTAGCTAAATATTTAACTCTGACCTAAATATTTAGCTGAGGACAAAATATTTTGTTTGTAAACTAAATAGCCTGGTAGCAAAATATCTATTTACTTAGTTTATCTAAGTATTTAGCTTAACTAAATATTTAGCTTGAAACTAAATATGTGGCTTGCTAATTAAACACTTAGATCCGAACTAAATATTTAGTTAGCAAGCTAAATACTTAGCCACAATTTAAGCAGTTTACAAACTAATTACTCTCCTAGGTAAATATTTAGCTCATCAACTAAATATTTAGCTAGAAGCTAAATATGTAGCTTGTTAACTAAACATTTAGCTTGTAGCTAAGTATTTAGTTTACAGACTAAATATCTACCTCACTAGCTGAGTATTTAGCCTTCAAACTAAATATTTAGCCCATCAATTCAATGTTTAGCTAAAAGCTAAATATGTAGCTTGTTAACTAAATATTTAGCTTTGAGCTAAACACTTTGATGGTAGATAAATATTTAGTTTACGGACTAAATATTTATCCCACTAGCTAAATATTTAGCTTCCAAGCTATTTAGTTTATTAACTACATATTTAGCTTCAAGCTTAAATGAATATTTACCTCCTTAAATATTTAGCTTGCTAATATTTATTTTGAAACTGTTCATTTTATGATTAGTAAATAACAGATGATTTATTTCATTTTTTATGTTCTGACTGGCCAAATAACCCAAAATACTGCTATACATTTTTGACCGTGTAACTTTGCAAACCGCTCCACAGGATGGCTTTGCTTGATTTTTGCCACCAGAGCAGTCGCCCCCTGCTGGCCGGCGGTATAAAGCACAGTGGCTTTAATGTTGGCACTGAGGCGATGTTAGTGATATTACCAAATGAGATAATATGACCACTGTGACTCAACTGTTATAAAGAGTTAGGCTTTACATTTCTAATGGTGAGATGTAAAAATAACTGCAACATGTCCCAGCTGAGTTCAAATGATATAAACCCAAAACTTGAACTAAAGTTAGGTGACTCAACCTGGATGTTACAGCTGCAGTACATATATATGTACACATAGATATATTCATGCTTTGGACCAGAATGTTGCCCATGTGTCACAGCCTCAACAGTAAGTCAGGAGCAAACTAAAGCGACCATTCCAGCACTATTTATAAAAGCACATCAGGCTAACAGAGCACAGGTAAAGCTTCATGTGAAGTGTTGCACTGCAAACAGTAAACTTCTTCAGCAGGTAAAACCACTACTAAAAGCAAAAATAGTGATATTCCAGTCTCTGTGTGTGGCTAAGTTCAACATGATGCAGCATCTCAGAGGTCGTCCTTCCAAAATGAATCAGTAAAGTGCCAAACTTTTCTTTCACAGTTGATAGAGGTGAAACCTGCTGTTCGGGGAGAAGTCACTGGTGTCGCACTTTAAGAGACGTTCCTGCTGGTGAAAGTGATGCTTGGCTAGCAGCAAATATTTTACTCTTAGTGTAACATTCATTTCAGTGGTAAAATCACTGTAATAAAACAACATACAGCAAAATTACAACATAATAGTGGATCAAAAAGTTTGCATCCGCTTTTTAAAATGCCAGAAGTTTGACGTAAAAGTAAGATTTAATTCACTTGATCAGTTAGAAACTTTTCATGCCTTTAATGTAACACACAATTCAACTAATAACTCATCTTGGTGTTGTTGTTTCTGCCCAATCAATCTTAACATGTCTCAGATTGGAGAAATTTGGCTCTAGGCTTTGACTAGACTGTTCTAAGACTTTGAGTTTAGTTTGATAAAATCGTTGTGGATCGCTACTGTTATTGCACACACAGTGTCAAAGAGCAACATATCGGACATTAGAGAAATTATTGTCACAACAGAACCTTATTTCTGGTTAATCTGACTGCATGCAATCATGGGAGGTTTGGACAGAAACAGACTAAATACTGAAATGTTTTTTTTGAAAGTTGAAAGTGTGCATACTTTTTAGAACAGAATGAGTCACATTAAAACTGAAAAAAGTTTAATAAAATTATTTGAAACAACCTGGCATTCAAACAGGGGAGTGTTTACTTTCTGTATCCAGTCTGTTCACTACAGCGACAGCTTTACAGACGGTTTGCTGTTTTAAACTGTAACAACAACGATCCATACATACGACAGCGCATTAGGGACGCGTTGTAGACAAAAAATAGACAGGAGTAATTTTTTTTGTCTAAAAACTCTTAAAATTTTACATTAGGATCAGAAAGTTTCTAGAAAAAATGATAAATTTCTGAATTTCAGAAGTTGAAATATTTTTACTTTTGAAACTCACAAATTTTCATGTTTTTTCCAGAAAATTTCTAAAATTAATATCAAATTTTTTTTATTTTTTTTTAGTGGAAATTTCCTCTTTTTCTGGCCCTAACACGCTGCCGTAGATACAGGTACATTCTGTTGCAGGTAATCAAACATTTGAGCTGCTAAAGCTTGCAGGAGGAGAGGTGATTGGTCGCTAACTGTGAAATTGTTTCGTGCAGCTTCAGTCCGGAGAGCTGAGAGCTTAAGGCACACCAAACAGAAGGGCTTTGATGTGATCTGGATAAATTTGCAGCGATTGATGAAGCTTCAGTGTTTGATTTTGACCTCAGTGACTCCTCCAGCTACAACCCTCATATTCCCAGTCGCTGCTACTCTTCTCCCCTCTGTCATCACAGTGATCTTTCTTCTAGACTCTTCTAATAAAATAAATCTCCTCTTCCTCAATCAGAGATGTGTGTCCTGCTCCTCTTCATCATCCTCAGTTGCTGCCTGGTTGACGAACGCCTGAAAAATAAAGACAAGAGATTGAAATGAAAATCAGCTGAAAGCATCCTGATTGCTGTATGCAACATAAATACAGTAGTAGATGTAAATATTAATTGATCCATGATCCAGTATGTCTGGATTTTCCGCAGAAATATATATATTTTAATTTTAAAATGTCTCACTTGAGGTTTTCAGCCAATTTTATGGCGTTCTCTTATACCAACACTGCAATTTATGGTCTAGTTCTAATGCAAATATCTTCTTACACTAGAATTAAGACAAAACTAACAAACAAATAACTTTTCAGCACAATATAAGAGCTTGTTTTAAGTCAAGTATTCATTAATATTGATGAAAAAGTACTGGTTCCACTGTTTATTTGCATAAGGACAAGTGTTAAATATGAACAAAAACTGAGCTCTACAACATTTATAGCCTTAGCTAATTCGCTTTACACATCCCCAAATGGGCCTCTGACAACAACAAAAAAATCCAGATTATTTGTGGAGAGAATCAGGCTCAATGATTAATTTGATAAAATTACAACTTTCAGAATTTTCTTTAACCAGTTATATTTCATGTTTATGTCTTATTGTTCTATTTATTTAATGATTCAAATATATTTTTGAGATTTCAAACTGTTGGACTAGACCCAAATGTATCATGTTTTCCTCTCTTTTCTTTCATAAAAGTAACAGACATTAGATAGAGAAACAGAAATAAGTAGTTAAAAATAGTCTAAATCCATCATCCAATCACCTGCCAGCGACTGCTGTCGTCCCCGCCCCCTCCTCCCGCCCCTGTGAGCCCATTGGTGCTCGGCTTCTTCTCCCGCATCTCAGCCTGGCTGTCATTGGTCACGTCCAGGGTGGGGTTGTCGTGGTAACCATTCTCCACAGAGTGAAGCTCCTCTGCAGGAAACTACCAGAATAAGGCAGATTTACTTAATATGACAGACTTCTGACTCAACTGAGCTTTTATCACATTTCAATCTGTATGTGGTCTAAAAAGAGAGGAAAGAAGAAACAATAAAACACCAGAAATAAGCCAGAGAGGTCAGATTTTATTATTCTGAGCCCATCCATCCATCTATCCATCCATTTTCTTCCGCTTATCCAGGGTCGGGTCGCGGGGGCAGCAGCTTCAGAAGGGAGGCCCAGACTTCCCTTCCCCCAGCCACTTCTTCCAGCTCCTCCCGGGGAGCTGGCGTTCCCAGGCCAGCCGAGAGACATAGTCCCTCCAGCGTGTCCTGGGTCTTCCCCTCCTCCTGGTGGGACGTGCCTGGAACACCTCACCAGGGAGGCATCCAGGAGGCATCCTTACCAGATGCCCGAGCCACCTCAACTGGCTCCTCTCAACCTTTAAGGAGTTTAAAGGCTCCTTAAACTGAATTAAGTAAAGTTGAAGATTGGTTTTTAATGTCTTTCTTTAATTGTTCCCTCACTAAAATGATAAAAATCCAACAGATTTAATCTCTTATCTCACTGGTCTCATTCCAGATATGTAATATGAATATTTAAAATAATTTATGCATCTATTTAAAACCACATTCTTGACCTACCATGCTCTTCATTCCCGGCAGCCGTCTCTGCCAGCAGATGTAGATGAAGCCGGACGTGATGATGACCATGCAGATGGAGCCGATGATGACCAGAACCACGAAGAGTTTTCCGTAGTCGCTGCGGGTCTTACTGGGCCGAGACTGGCAGCTGGTTGCTGCGCTGTAGTTCTGGATCCCCACCTGACAAACCAGTCAGGGAACGTTTTACTATCCCGCAGAACTCAAACGAAACAAATATCAACACACCAGACAGTGGGAGAAATCACATTTGCCATTTTTACAAAAAGAAAACTAAAAACTTATTTTTTATTTACAGAACTTTGATCAGTAACACGTCGTTTTTAATTAAAGGTGACCTATTATGCTTCCTTGAACAGGATATTATAGATCTATGGTCTATTCAAAACATGTTCATTACATTTTTTTATAAAATAATTCCTAGTTGATGAGATTTTAGTCTGCTCAGGTTGATCCATTTTGAGCTTTTTTAGGGCGTCTTCTCACTTTAAATCCAAATAATCTGCTGCTGGCCATGCCCCCCCAACTCAACATTTATACTCCCACGTGGAAATGGCTGCCAACAGAAGCGCAATTATACAACCGTACATGTTTGAAAAGTAGAAGTGAAGCCTCCTGCACAATCAACAAGAATGCAGAAGTGGTTTCTGGATGGTGAGTCCACAACAAAATACTTCTCTTTTCCAGCAGCCATTGTACAGCACATACTGTGGTAAAACCAGCTGACCAAACGAGCTGGAACTCCGCTTGGGTTGCTAGGTAATGGGCTGAGCTCGACTGGGGTTGCTAGGTAACAGCGCAGTGAGTGTTCATTGTGACTAAACAGTTGGGAGGGTTTTGAATTGGCTCATTTTGAAAACACCAAAAATGGCCCAGTGGTTTTTTTAAAAGTCCACTGCTTGGACTGTTTTTAGCAACAGCTTATAGAAGCTTCCAAATGGAAGAACAAAAACATGCAGAACGTGAACTTTGCACAATAGCTGTCCGTTAAATGTCACTGTAAGGACTTAATACAAACATAAAGGGCGATCTAAAAACTGACTGCAGAGTATGTCAGCTGATTTTGAAGAAGTGAAAACCAGTCAGAGCAAAACATCTTTGAAAAATTACAAGAAAGTCTGCTTGCTTAGACAGGGAACAAACCAAAGCTGTGAATTTATTTTTTACCAGATAAAGAACCAGTATGTTCACCTTATCGAGGCCTTTTTTGATCTCTCCCAACATGTCCAGCACCTCCTGAGTAGCAATGACTCCTGAAAGACATCAGATGACGATCAGCAGCATTTACAGTCAACGTGTCTCTGACATCCGAATGCTTCAAGGCCCGACATGCTTCATACGAACTGAACGAAATCCGTCCTCACTGACGTAAACATGCGATGTCTGGCTAACAACTCACAAATTTAAAAGAATAACTTTACATAAAAACAAGAAAATTTGGATAATCCTGAGCATCTTCTTCATGAGTGAGTTCAGTTGCTGCTTTTTATGCTGTCATCAGACTACCTTCTGTTTATTTGGGTCACTGAATGCTACCTTGAACATCTTTGCAAATATAAAGAGGCGTTCAATGAGCCAAATAAATGTTGTAAATTTCTACATTTTCACCATATTTTACAGTGTCCTAAGTCATAAATCGCCATTTTTGCGTGACTTTTAAACATGCAGTAAAAGTGGCGATTTGTGTCCACTCTGGTAGCAATGCTGATGTTTCTCTTCAACTTGTCTGCCGCCATAACCGGTTTTTGGATTTGTAGGTGATACAAAATGTTTAACTGATGCAGTGAGGAATTCTTTATCTTTGTACAATTCATAACTACTCTAAGACTGATGAATGGTTAAAAATTCATGGACAGAAATTGTAGTGTCAGTGTTTCCAGAAGAGGCTGCCTGCAGAAAAGTGTGGCAACAGCTCTGTGATTGTTTTTCTAAAAGGAAAATAGAGGATGCCGGGAGGGAAAATGTCTCCTATGGAAGACCAGAAAGGACACAAATGCTTGTTTGTGTTGTTGGATTTTTGCCATATTTTATAGAGTTCCAAGTCAGTGTTTTTTGTGTGAATTTTTAGCCAGGGTTGTAGTAAACGTGCTGATTTCCGTCCTTTCTGGCCTTCCGTACAAATGTACCATAACAATGTGACTGCGCGTCGACGGTTCAGATGAAGCATGAAGGGCCGTTAGGCTTCAGGTGAGCCAAGCTTCTGTGAGGCTCGTATGTGTGTACCATGTGCAGACGCAACGTTCATCAGCAGCTGGTGTTGCTGGTGCGTCGGCTTGCTGAGGTAAAGTACCCATGATCCTTCAGGGCTGTTCATTCTGCGTGCAAACTCGCGCTCCAGGATCTTCAGCAGCTGGACGCCACCACAGACACGAAACTCCTCCTGTCTCACAAACAAAACACGCTTTTTCTGCATGATTTTCCACCTGGAAACTCAAAGTGATGAAAAATGATGCTTCTCTAAAATCCATCGCGTTATTATGGCGACCGTTGATACACTGCAGCAGCGGTTTTGTTGCTTCCATGGCAACAGAAGCAACAGTGAGGATCCCTGATCTGTTCCTGACACAAAAACAGATCAGGGTTTTTGCTGAAACGTTGTTACTTGTTGATATTTTGGTACTTATTTTGATACTTACACAGTTCATGTTCTTCGTCATGTTGAGGACGACATAGCCCCGTCCAGTCAGCTCGTTCCAGTTCACACAAACCACCTGAACATTCACAGTGGAGATGTTTTTAAGTGTTCTTGTGTTTCCGGTTGAATCGTCGGGTTTGAACCAACCAACCTGCCGCGGCTCCTCCAGTCCGGGATCAAGCCCGGTCGCCGTGAATCCAGTCGTATGGGACGGGTCTGTGGTCAGCGGGATGATTCCTCTGAATCTGCTTCCCTCTCTCTCCTCCCTCTCTTCCTCCAACTCCTCACTTCTGGTTTCTGATCCAAAACAATAAATAAATGTAAAGCTTACTTTACGTTACTTTTCAATCCATTCCAAACTGGAAAAGAGTCGATGAATGCTAACCTTTTAGGTCATGTTCCCGTTCTTCCCAGTGTTTGTCCTGCTCCAAACTGGGCTGCAGAGGTCGTCTGCTGGGTGCCAACCCAACCTCTGGAGCTGTGGGATTCTGGGTAATTACACCTGCATGTGGCAGACCTGCTTCCTCCTCATCATCATCTGAAGTCAAACCAGAGATAAGAAACAAGCAGCTGAAACTCTTAATGTGGCAAAGTGGCACTGCCTTGGTGTTCCTCAAGGCTCAGTTCTTGGGCCACTTAATTTGGATTTTATTTTTCAGTGTCATATTTTCACCATGTAATTTATTAAATTATAAATGTCATAGTTTCAAACCAAATATTTAGTTAGGAAGCTAAATGTTTTATTTGAAGCCAGATATTTTTGCTTGAAGCTAAATATTTAGCCTCAAACTAAGTTTATTCAACTCAAAGTTTACAGAGCCTCCAAGTAAATTAATGCTTTAGAATTTATCTAGAAAAGTTAATTTGGGGGGAAGCTAAGTGCGCTTAACGTTTTCAAAGGTAGCTAAATGAAAAATTAACTCTGCTATTAGCGAATTAGCTAAAGTTTGCTCACTGCAGTCTGAAACATTTACGTATAGAAAAAGTAACAAAAGCAAGAGAAAATTGGAAAATACTTTTCGTTTGGATTCTACCTTTTGTATAACTTTCCAGAAGTCCAAAGTCGGTTCCGGTGTCGGTCTCTGGTGTCGCCGTACCGTCAGAGTCTGCAGAAACGGCTGGGTCATCAGGAGGTGTTGGAGAGGTCTGAGCTGCAGCGACTGAGGAGCGAAGGACGCCGTAGCCGCTGGACTGAACGTCTTCGTCCTTCTCTGCTATCCACAGATCTTTCTCTGAAGGACTCAACTGGAGGTTGGTTTGAGAATAAAGAAAGAAAAAATGGATGGTGTAAGACGATGACATAGTTCATGTTTTAGTTGATTTATCATTGAAAGTTCTATAAGCAACCGTGATTTAACATGTTCTAAGATGCTAGAACAGGCGTGTCCAACGTGTGGCCCAGGGGCCATTTTTGGCCCTCTGAAGGATTTTCTTAACTCTAGAATTGAGCAAACCTGGGCATAAAGCATAGTAGGCTCGTATTTTAAAGCGATCTTTTTACAGCGTGTCGACATGTTACAGTTGTCAAAGTCAAGCTAGCATACTTCCACCTCCCTCTCTATTTTTCTTTATCTTTCTAAAAGCTTTTTCCTGATCTTGTAGTGCTGACAATTAGTAGAAAAGGACTGCGTCCTTTTTTCTTTTATATATCATAGGCACATTTTAGATTTAGCGTATTATGTTGATAACCAAAGCTAGTCATCAAAGGCGAGCAGCTTATTGCCCTCCAGAAGGAAGATGGGGTGGGATCTTGCAAGTGTGTGTCACTTATAAGATTTATTGTTAAGATTTATTTCTGTAAAAACAAAATACTAAAACAGAAGACACATTTCTCTGTCTTTACCTCCAAGACTGAGGGACCGCGATGCTCTTGCGGCCTGAAATCGTGCTCTTCAGACAGGAAGGACCTGCTGGGCTCCTTGGACGGATGAAAGAAAGACCTGTAGTCTGTTTCAAAAACATGCGTGTCAAAAACACGTTTCTGGTTTTCCTTTAAAAGCAGTTGCAGTTTGAGACTATTCATAACATTCTTATGGGAAAACACATCTGTTGATAGTGCTGATTCAGAACATTAATGTCTGACTGGTTCCTGTCAAAACTGACCATTTCTCCCAGCCGTTCTTTAAAATGGGAAAAGTCTTTGAAGGGCGAATCCAAGTCGAATTTCATGTATTTGATGGGTGAGTCCAGATCAAGTCAAAGTGGAGTCTGGTGACCATCAGACAGAATCTCTGTTCTGCTGGTTGAGCAGAGAAATAATTTCCTACTATCTGGATAATGTTGTCTCTTTTGTTGTCTTGCAGCAGCAACAGAAACTTCAGAAAGTTCTCTATGTTGGTTTCTGGGTAAATATTTGGCGTGAACCAGCATGAGGGTTACTAACCGATCAGAGTGTAGAGATCTGGAGTCGTGTGATTGACCTCCACGGCTTCTGTGACGCCGCGTTCGTCCGTCTCTCGTCCCGTTTTGTCCTCCTCCCCCCGTCTCTCTCTGTCCTCCGCTGCGTATCTCTCCCACTCGTCCTCCCCTCCTCCTCCTCTCCTGTCCTGGTCCTCTCCTCCGTCGTCTCCGCGGTCTCTGTCCTCCGTGTCCGTCCCGTCGAAGCCGGACGCTTCCTGGGAGGCGTCGCCAGCTCCGAGCCCGCCGTGGCGCTCTGCTTCTGGCTCTGTGAGCTCCAGGTGTCCCCCGGCGCTGTCCGGACCCAGCGGCACCGCCAGGTGGACCATCCGCTGAAACATGGGACACATCAGGTAGCTTCCAGGAGGATTAAATTAAACTGTCTTAGACAATAAGAATCCTCTGTCAAATGAATGTTTTAGCACGTTAAACTTTAACGTTTTGCACATCAGACTTTGTGCTTTTAATATAAGAAACAAGTCTCATCGGAAAATATGGACCCCCTGCACGTCGTTTACATCTGAAAATTTGGCGCATGCACAACGCTGGAGGGAAAAAACATGATCAATCCATTAACAAAAGGAAACCTGGAGATGTAGGTATTATTTATGTAGTGCCGAGCACAATATTGTTGTTTTATGACCTTTTTCAAGTAATGCAATGTAAGAACACATTCTCAAAGATCAATAAACTTTAAATTCTAACTGGAAAACATATTAAATATTCTAAAAAATAAAAGAACAAAACAAATAAAATTAACTATGAAGTCTCTGGAAACAAAATTATCCTTCAAAAAAAGATCAAGTTGAGACCAAAACACCAGACTGAAGACTTTTATCATCCAGTTTTTAGCGGAAAAAGAGAGAAAAGAGAAAAACATTAAATCATTCAAATGGAAATTATTGAGTTTGTTTTAATTTATGATGCAATTAATTTATTTATTGCTTATTGTGACAAGCCTAATAAGAAAAACTCTTCCAGTTCCAGTGTTTAATGTTCATTAGAATTTAATAATGTGTTTTTGTATTATTGTACTATTAGCATCATATTACTGGAAATAGTCTCAAAACATTATTGTTCATCACAATAACTTCTGGGACAATTTATTGTCCAACGTTTGTTATAGTGACAGGCATAAGCATCAGAATGATTGACAGCGCTAAATCCCGCCTCCTGGCTCTGATTGGTTGTTTCTAGTTTGCTCTGGGAGGAACTGAGAAGAATTATTAGCTAGATATTTTCCACACATTAACTTATGTTATTCTATCATCGTGACATAACAAATATGTAAAAAACAATTTTAAAAAAATGTAAGTTACACACTGCAGTTTTAAATCATTTATATATTTGTTTTGAATCCTCACCTCCATCACTTCTTCCACATCCAGGCTTTCATCCACGGCAGCAAGGGTCCTGGCTACTTCCTGGTTCATGGCGGGCGGCGGGCTCATGGCGGACGTCGGGTTCACGGCGGAGGGATTCACCGGCTCCTGTTTGCTTTGTGAGCCGGATGTTTCGTGGATCTCCGGCCAGCCCATGTCATGAACCAAGTGAGGCTGGGCGCGGACTAACTCGCGGGCCGAGTGACGCTTGGTTCTGACTAATTCCTGGATGAAACGCGACTGGCCTTGAACCTCACCCGGAAGCAGAGGAGCCGGCGGAGGTCCGAGCGGGATGACCCGTTGGGTCGAGCCCCGTCCGAAAGCTTCAGAGCTGGATAGAAGAGCTGAGGGACGGAGGGACAAAAATATACCTGAAGAACTAATTTACTTCATCAAAACCTGACATTTTGGCCTTGTTTAATATTTATATGTAACGGGGTTTTATTTAAAAATATTATAGATGTGATTTGTGTCAAAAATGTGTTTATTTATTCTCTGAATTTATTTCGTTTAGTTACGTACTGTAGTTGCTCCTCCAGACATTTATGGTTACGGCTCTTGACGGTTGGTGGTTACCATAGCAACTAATAACCGAAAGCTCCACCCCTTTTTTCTGTTGCCTCAGTAACATCGATATGTATTAGGATCATCTGTTGTTTTTTTCAAGTATTATGTTTTCACAAATATTTCAGACAAATTTAATCATAATGTTTCGTGAGTAATTTTGCCATTTTTGTGTTTTTAACTCATTATTGTAATATTAATACAACTGCTAACTGTTGCTAACTGATGTTAACTGCTGCTAAGTGCTAACTGGGAGATATTGCTCTGCAGTTTGTTTAGAGTTGTGTATTTTATTTAATGTGCAGGGCAGAAGCTGCTGAACTGAAGTTAACCACCAACTTGATTTGATCTTTTGTTAGAATAAACACAGTGAACCTCGGTGTGTCTGTCATAATAAAGTCGACCTACTGGATCAGAGACGAACATGTAAATGTTGCTTTTACACCGGGCTCCTGACAGGGCCGGGACTAGCGGGTCTGTTGTCCTGGGCCAAGGCTGGAGGAGAACCAAAACGTTGTGAACGTTTCTACAAGATGTGCCCATAAGCTTAATCATTAATCTCATATCTGTGGTCACAGTTCTGCATCTGAAGTCGGTCTCTGTCTGGGAACACAGATGGCTGTCTGAGCTTATTACACCATCATGTCCAACATGTCTGACACACGTTAATCTCTCAGGTCCAACACCAGAACCACAGGATCTGAGGGTGGAAATGATCCAAGAGTCTTCTTAAACTGGTTAGTAATTAAATTAAAATATAACAGCAGAGCACTGTTGCCTTTCAGCTAGGAGGTCCTGAGTTCGATTCCCAGCCTGGGGTTTTTCTGCATGGAGTTTGCATGTTCTCCCGGTGCATGCGTGGGTTCTCTTCGGGTACTCCAGCTTCCTCCCACAGCCCAGGAACATGACTGTCAGATTAACTGGTCTGTATAAATTCTCCTTAGGTGTGAGCGTGTGTACAGTTGTTTGTTCTGCTTGTCTCTGTGATGCCCTGCGATGGACTGGCGACCTGTCCAGGTGACCCCAAATGTTTAGCTTGACACCACAATATTTAGCTTCCAAACTAATACTTAGTTAGGACCTAGCAAGCTAAATAATTAGCTCAAAACTAAATTCACTCATACATCCAAGCTTTGTAAGAGATGCAGAATGCTGATAGTAGAAATAAAAGAAAAAACTCAAAAAGTGTTTGTAGCCAAATATTACATTTTTAGATTGCCAGCTAAATCTTTAATTTGTAAACTAAATACTTAGTTTGCTAATGAAATATTTAGTGTGGAAGTCTGACATTTATAAATGTTTGGTAAAAATATGAGTTTGAGAAACAAATCCCCATTTTTGTCTATTATGATCGGCTAAATAATCCAAACTGACATGTTGTTCTGTGGGATTGGTTCCCTGTCTTAGACCGGATTACTGGGTTCTGTAACCCTCCCCCAAATAACTCCCAAATCTGCCAGAAGAATTCATCCCATTATCTCCTTTAGGCCCTAATCAGGCATTTCTACAATGTCAAACACATTTATGACAGTAATTTAATCTTTTTAGTTTAGTTTCGCAACACTAACTTTGGAAATAGGATTCCGATTTTGACAAGAACATGTTTGGGAAGTATGCAACAACTTCAGGTTTAACTGTTTTTAAAGTCTATGCTTCAAAACCACTAAAGTCTTGCATTACTCAGTTAAACCTCATGAAAAGAAGAATGTGGGATCCTCATTAGGATTATATTGTAGTGGTTTTTCACAACTATTCAATTGTTTTTTTACTTTACTTGATTGCATTTTTAGCAAAGTTTTTTATTCACAAAAAAATTCAATAGAAAAATCCCTTTCTATGTGACTTTTAAAAACTGGTCTACTTGATTACTTTCAGTTTATCTCATTCAAAAACTGTAAGGCAACTAAAACTGTGTACGATATAACTTCAATCTCTGTACATTACACCTGGTTGATGTTGTTGCTATTATTATATGATATACTGTCTCTCAGTAATAAAATAAAACTGGCATTTCAGCATGACAGAGCCCATAAACATTGTTTGCAATAGCTCTGACAAACATAATTTTAAGCTTTACTTTCCACAAGCACATACCACTTTTAGTTTACAGTTGCAGGCATAACACATAGCGTTGATATTAGCTACATTTAGAAGGCACCACCATTAGCTTGCTACCAATGATGCGAGGAGTGGCCATCTTGAAATGTGAGGACCCTGTTTCCCAGTAGGAAATCCGACTTTGGGGGTCGTTCCAGTTGATTTATCCGACTGGGAAAGTAAAAATTTTCCAATTCCAACTACAACTGGCGCAACTTCACAAAGCAAACAAAAACGGAGTAGAGTCAGATTTTAGTGGCTGTAGGATTTCTCTTTGCACAAAGCCATTTCACCGGGTAGCGCAAGCTTACCGCGTTAGTTTTGTTTGTATTTTCCCAGAATGCCTTGCGCTGTAGTTCACTTCCCAAATGAACCAGACTTAAACAAATTGAAGCAGACTAAGCAGGGCTGGTGTGAATGCAGCCTAAGAATTACTAATCTCAATAGCAAAATAAAACTTGAACTTGACGCATCAATTTACAAAATCAGCAATTTGAACAAAAAATGTAAACATTTTATATCAAATCATCAAGATATGAGGATTGGGTTCAGTTAAACTGAGAATTTACTGGGTAGCTAGTGAAAACCAAGTGAAAAATTTAATCAAGCTGCTGAATTTTACCAGAAAGGACAGCTTCTTCCTCTTAATTAATAAGGTGCAATGGTTAACCAGACAGGAAGTGCAACAAAAACACACCAAGAGTAAATATTCCCCACAAAACAAAACAGATGGCACATTTTTTAGAGAGGCTACTAAATGTAAATGTGTTTGATCTAAAACCATGCGTCATTTCTGGTTAATGCTGCACCACTGATGCTCTTTAATGCAACAGTTAAAACTTGCATGTCAGGTGAGATACTGCAGTGTGTGCTGCGTCCACTGTATTAAAACACTGCAGGCTACACCCTCCTCATTTATAACAACACAATGATTTATTCTGCACCATCAACATTAAGATTTTAAAATGTAAAGTTATCCGCATTTGATGCTCAGTAGACATTTTACGGTCCTCTGTTGTGCTTTTTAAAGATTTTCCTGCCGCATTTTTTTTTGTGTTTTTCTTGTAATAGTAATAATAATAAACCGGATTATTTCCTGTTTTTGTCCAAAGCATTAGGAGACAGAGACTGACCGATGAGCGTGATGATGAGGCCCGGCATGTCTGCTGCAGTGCTCTCCCTCCGCCTCCGCTCCGGTCTCTCGGGGGAATCAGCTGCGGATGCTCTCTGGATGTTCAGCGGGAAAACGGCGCCTTCACGGCCGCTTCATGTCCTGGCGGTGTGCGGGGAAGGGCTCACGGCTGCCAGGCTGCGGGCGGGTCACGCACACGGACGGGTTTGATTGTTCGGAGCTGCGGTCGGAACCAGAATCAGATCTGCTGCAGAGAAGAAGGGGGAAAAAGCTGGTTTGCGGTTGGTTGACGTTTCCGGACGTGGCCGCTAGATGTCGCAGTTTTATCCATGAATGCAAATATTCAAAGTTTGCTCCACGTTAACCTAATAAATTAACCTATCCAAGTATTGGTATAGCATCAGTTAAAATTTTAATTTTTATGTAATCAAAGTCTATATGACTTTACTATGATAAACATGTTTCCACCACAGCTTACTACTGTTGATGTGAGGAGCGGCCATATTGAAATGAGAAGACAAGGAAAATTAGGGGGATTGGATAGAAAAAAATTAGTGTATTTAAGCTAAAAAAAAAAAAAAATCAGACATTTTCAAGAAAAAACAGAAATTTGAGTTTGAAACGTGTAAAATTTGCTTTAAAAAATTAATTTTGAGTTAATTGCAAATTTTCTAGAAGTTTCAAAAGTCAATTTAAACTTTTGGAGCTCAGAAATTTGCTAATTTTTTCTAGAGAATTTCTTAAAATATAGTTGAATAAAAATGTATCTGGCTGCAGTCTGTACTTCAAATTTCAGCTCATAATCATCTCCCACAGTCAGACAGTGTGGGAATACAAGACATTTTCTGAATCCTTAGTCTGTTGAGTATTTCAGTTAACTCCAGTGTCCCAGGATATCACTGGGCTAAAAGAAATGTATTGTGTTTGAGCAAAAAATGTCAGAAAATGTGCATAATTTCTGGTTTAACAAGCTCTAGTAAAACCTCTGATTTTGTCCTTTTAATATGAGTTAAAAGGACAAAAACTCTCATTGTGTTCAATAGTGAAGTCCTTCGCAGTCCCAGTGGGATCTGGTTGTAGTCAGAAGTTCGAGCTGATTTTTAAGTTGTTTTTGGCAACCCTGGACTCATTTAAACAAATGAGCCTTCAGAAAGTTCATAGGGTTACAGCAAAGTCTGCAACCAGAAAGACTCATGCAAAATCCTTTAACAGCTACAATCAAACAACATTTTAACTTCTTTAAATTCAGTTTTTATTTTTTTTTTCAGAACAACTACAGTCAGAAATCCTCATAAAACATGTACATGTATTTACAAACAGTGATGAACGTCGTTTATTTGGACATTTCAGCTTTTTTAAAGGCTCCATTCAGCGAAATGCGACAGTTTCCCATTACAAACGTGACTCAGCTGATGGGAGGACCAACACGCATCTCGGAGTCCAAATGCAGGACAGCCGGGTCTCAGAACTGCTGCAGGATGAGCTTCTTCTTGCCGTCGTGGCTGAACCTGTTGTAGCGGAAGAGCTCGCTGTCGTAGAAGGCCGACAGGTTGTGGATGCTGATCTGTCGCGCCTCGAGAAGGAAAAAACAGAAAAGGAGATCAGCCAAAGTCTTCAAAACGTTTTCTTCACAGGTTTCTGTTCGTCTTTCACACGAAACCCCAAAAATGACTTTAAAATGAGGCCTATTATCATTCTGAGTTTAAAAATCTACCAGATTTCCAGGTTTTTATTTAATTCTAATTTTATTTTTTCTGTAGATACTTTAATATGTAGTTGCTTTACATGTATAGTTTTTTTAATATATTTTGTATGTTTTTGTTATGTGCTGCTTTAACAACAATTTTCCATTGTGGGATTAATAATGAACTGCTCTAATCGTTTTTGTTCTTCCATTTGAGTTTCTACTGTTTCTAAAGGAACAACCTAGGACTTAAAGTTTTTTTGGCCATAAGTTAAAGTTTGTTGGGGGTTTCTGGAAAATGAGCCGTTTCAAACACCTCCTGAATGTGAAGTCACATTTAGACACTCCACCGTTACCTAGAGAAATCTGCTAAGATCTGACGCTCCTCCATTTTTACTAACATGTTGTGAAGAAGGATGTAGCGTATTGTCTTCTTCAGAGGTTTTTCTGTTATTTCCTTCAGTAGTTCTTGGTGCAGCTCCCCCACAGGCGAGGAGAGGAACTGGTTTTTTCAAAAGGGTTTGGTTCGTTTGACTCAGTGCAGCTGAAAATGTAACCCATGGTGCAATTTTGATCCTCAATCGAACTGAGACTACTGGACTATAAGGCGGGAAAACACCCTTACCATCTAGAAACCACTTCCTGCATTCTAGTTGATTGTGCAGGAGGCTCTACTTCTGCTTTTCAAAGCTACACAGATGTATAATTGCGCATCTGTTTGCAGACATTTCCACGTGTGAACCTCCTTACCTTGTCGTGCAGATCCTTCTCTGGGATCTCGATGGTGTCGTTCTGGACTCCGTATCGGCTCCTCTGGTAGGCGACCTGCTCGGCCACCAGCTGCTTCAGGATGAACAGCAGCAGCTCGTTGTTGTCCCTGCGGAACGCCAGGTAGCGGGCAAATGTCTGGCCAACAAACAGGAACCAGAGAATAGGTTAAGTTCCTCCTAGAAACCCGTTAAATATTGTGTTTCCAACTCCAAAGCAGCAGCAGACCTTCCTCATGCTCCTCATCACGCTGAACTTCTGCGTGTCGATGAAACTCTCCAGCATCACCCTGATGGCCATGTTCACGTCGTCCTCCAGGACGTAGTCCCTCAGGTGCATCTTGGCGTGAGCCTCCGCCATGCGGATCATCGACTCGATGTGGCGCACCGTGATGGGGATGCTGCCTGTGGCCTGCAGGGGGCGCCAAAACAACTTCAGTTTCTACACCAACATGTCCAACATGTCTGAAACAGGACAGCAGAGGACTCACCATGGACTCCTTGCGGAGGTCGCTGTAGATGCGAGCCACCTTGTCCTGATCCATTTGATTCAGTTTGGGGTGAACCTGTGCAAAAAAAAAAATAAATAAATACCAAAGATTCCACTGGAGCGGATCAACCTGGAGGTTCGCCGGCGGCGTGTGTTCGGACCCGCTCCTTGGCGTAGATGATGTACTTCCTCAGCAGCTCCTGAGGGATCGATGGGACGTCCGACGAGTTGGGCAGAACCACATCCTCCAACGCCACGCCCCCTTCCTTGTTGCTAGGGTGATGCTTGATGTGGGAGCCGACAACGAAGCGCGCCAGCATCTCATCCTTGGTTGACAAACAGCAGCAGATCAGACAGAGTTCCTCGACTTTCACTGATACAGCAGATTCAGCGCCACAACTAAGACCAGTGCGCACCTAGCAGAGGCTATTCCAAAGCTAGCTACTGATGTGATTGATAAGCTAACACAGCTAACTGAGCACCTAGCGCTGGCAAATGGGGAGAGGAGTCACTGTGTGAGCTTCGGAAAGGCTCGAGACTAGATTGCCAAGGTAGGTCACCCACTGGATTCCCTACTTCCTCCAGCGTCCATTAGCACAAAGAGGCTAACACTGACTTTCAAGAAGCTAGTGCTAGCTTTCTAGAAGCTAATATTGACTTTTGAAAGGTTAGCACTGGTGAGGCTAGCATTCTCATAAGAGTGCTGGCATTCCAGAGGGCAGCGCTGGCTTCCCAATCCATTGTTACATCAACTATAATGCCTAAGGAAAAAGAGTCATGAGTGGCTAGGCATGCTAATCCTAACGCCAGCTTATCTGTGCTAATGGACAACGCAGACAGTGAGTAACCAGCCTCTCCAAAGGTAACACCAGTGACGAGTCCTCCTTGTTACGCCGTTGCCGGCCTCTTATCAGTAACTAGCTTTGGAAAGGATTCATCATCCTGCAATTAGCATGCTATACCTAATAGTCTTAATTTGATCACCAATATCACGACATATGTTTCATCTTTTAATATTTTTATTAAATATGAAACTGCGGTACCTGCACAGGATCGACTGTGTCTCTGACGATGCACAGCACGTCGAAACGTGACACAATGGGCTCCGTCAGGTCCACGTTCTCAGAGAAGGTGAGCGAAGGGTCATACCTGCCGCCTGGAGACACGGGGGGGAAAAACAGTTAGGAAAAAACGACACACCACAGGCGGCCGAACTGAACCTCCTTCGTATTAATTGGCGTTCGCACCGATGGGGTTGGCAGCGGCCATGACGGTGCACCTGGCCTGCAGTGAGGTGACGATGCCGGCCTTGGAGATAGAGATGCTCTGCTGCTCCATCGCCTCGTGGATGCTCGTCCTGTCGGCGTCGTTCATCTGGAGGTCAAGATGAGATTAAAGAACGGTTTTATTATGTCTCGATCAGAAGTCGTAGTCCTGGTTGGGATCCGAGTGCATCTCGCCTCACCTTATCGAACTCGTCGATCAGGCAGACGCCGCGGTCGGCCAGCACCAGCGCGCCGGCCTCCAGCGTCCACTCGCGGCTCACCGGGTGCCTCTGAACGTACGCCGTCAGGCCCACAGCGGACGCCCCTTGACCCGTGGTGAAGACGGCACGGCTCGCCACCTTCTCCACATACCTGGTGAAGAAAAGTCCTCCGTTAAACCGACTCTGGTTCGGATTAAACACAACTTTTAAAGTTGATCTGTTATGCTTCCATGAACAGATTAGGATTGGTCCATGGGCTGCAAATCACAAAATCATTCTTTATTCATCAGATTTTAGTCTGGTCAGTTTTGCCAGATGCACCATTATACGACAGTACATCTTTGAAAAGCAGAAGTGGAGCCTCCTGCACAACAAACCAGAATGCAGCAAGTGGTTTCTGGAAGTTAAGTCAACAACTAAACACTTGTCTTTACCAGCAGTCATACAGCGGGAATACCAGCTGACCAAACATGCTGGAGCTCAGATTGGGTTGCTAGGTAACAGGGCAGGGCTTCACTGGGGTTACCAGGTTACAGCACCATTGAAGGTGATTTAATCAGTAGAATTTTGAAACAGCTCCTTTTCCAGACACCAAAAATGCCAAAAACCAGCGTGGTGTCTTGTTTTTAGAAACAGTAGAAACCCAAATTGAAAAACAAAAACGTGCAGAATTTGAATTTTGTGTTGTAGGTCCCTTTAAACATTTGGATGCTGCAGGAAAACTTGTGAGTCGACTCTTACTTGAGGAACTGAGACTTGGCGGTTCCCGGGTCTCCACACAACAGAACGTTGATGTCGCCACGCACCTTATGTTTCCCACCTGCAGGAGGGAGAGACTCTCAGTTCATGGATGTTTATGGATGAGATTCAGTCGGGATCTCA